GGGGGGGGGGGGGAGGAAGGGGGGTGCTACTTCTGTGGGTGAACAAAGGGAACAAATAATATGGGTAACTGAGGGGGAGCCTTAAATGCATGTGGAGAAGCAGGTGCATGATAAATGGGGAAGGGTGAGGGTTCCTGGGGCCCGGTGGGGATGGCGAGGAAGATGCACGTTGTGTGAGAGGAGGAGGAGAGTGTGTTTATAGGGGTGTTCGCGCACCTTTGTGCTATGAGGGAGGATGTTACATACGTCTTTGTGAAAGGTGGGTGTGTGGTGGGTGTATGTGTGGAAAGCTGCTGGTACCCAGGGGAGGACAGTCGTGCCTCTTAGAGCTGGGTAGCCCCGGTGAGGACCACGACCCTGTGCAGGGCCGGGCCGGGGGTCAGCAGGGTGAGCAGTGCAGCCCTGGCTGCTGCTCTGTGCCGTGCCAGTCCCACACGCCGGTACGGCGCTGCCCGGTGCGGTGCTGTGCCGTGCCAGCCTGCGTGCCGGTACCGCGCCGTGCCGTGCCGTGCCGTGCCAGCCCTGCGCGCCGGGTGCCAGCTCCTCACACTGGGGATCGCCGTGCCGTGCCAGCCCTGCACGCCGGGTGCCAGCTCCTCACACCGGGTGGGGATCGCGGTGCCGTGCCGAGCCAGCCCTGCAAACCAGGAGCCGCGATGCCCAGTGCCGTGCCCCAGCCCGCTCGGCGGGTACCGCACCGTGCCGTGCCCCCGGCTGGTTGGCTGCGGAGGGCTGGAGCGGGATGCAGCGGGAGCAGCCCGGCGAGGCACCCGCCTGCCCAGCCGGACAAATGACACGTCTGCAGCAGGCAGTTTCTGAGGCTCGGGCTTTTTGCTGCTGTGCTCTGTGCCCCGCGCCAGGAAAATGAGCTTTGTCGGGAAATCAGCTCATTAGGTAGATTCCTTCTGAAAGGGGCACAAATGCCCTTCTCGTAACAGGGGAGGAAAGGAGGCTTTTGATTGTGTTCATTTCAAAAATGCAACCGCTGCCCCCTCCCTCCTCTACTTTCTAATGAGCCTCCGGTTCCGCACAAAGGATTCATCATAGCCATGCAGTACTCACCTTCTCCGGCCACATCTTCCGCGGCTTGCTGAGCTACTTTCAAAAGGGGAGAGTGATCGGGGGTGGCAAGGCTGGGAGCCCGTGCTGAAGCCTGACCATGGAGGTAGCCTGAGACCTTGCTCACTGGCCAGTCTCGTCCCCCCGTGGTCTTTAAAACTGAGAGGCAGATAACGCTGAACAGGCGTGTTACTTGTGCTGCAGATGCGGGGAGGGTAGAATAGCTCCACACGCCCGCCCGCTACCTCAGCAGCACTTACTGATCCCAGCCAAATTTTTCAACTTTATTTAGGGGGAAGAATAGATCACATGGGGAGCTTCACCAAACTGGGAGGAGCATGTTAGTGCAGAATCAGGTCACTAACATAAAAACCCGGGAGTTAGTCACAGACACAAAGATTAATAGTGTTAGCATAATCCAGGCATAAAAAGCAGGCTGAGACAAAGACAGGAGATGCTTATGGGAATTAAGTGCTTCTGTTTTCTTCCTTTATCTGTGTCATTAAGCAGGGTAATTTCTCGCTCCTTTTATCGGGTGAGTTTTCCTAACTGAGTAAGAAATGGAGTAGAATATAAAAGAAATGTTTTCATCTTCTAAGTGCTTTTGAACATATTCTTCTTGGCTGTCAATCTAGCAGTACTACAGGCTTTTCTTTTTTTTTTTTTTTTCTTTTACATTCCTGAAATGCTCTCTGTCTCTGTCCTCCCATGTTGTATCGATTCGGTCCCAGAGAAACAGATGCTGCAGACCCATTCCAAAACACACACATGCCCACATAAAATAGTCTAGGTTGAATAATTGTCTCTGACTCCAGTCTTTAATTTGCATCTCTTGCTCAGACAAAGGCAAGAAGGCTGCTGGCTGATCCCTTATTGTCCCACTGACTGAGAAATCATTGTGGAATTAAGTTTCTACACCACCTTTTTCTGGGTTTTTTTTCATGCATTAACAGATGACAAAGCTCCCCACAGGAGCATAGGTAATACAAAATCTGTCCCTGAGTGCCTAAGAGCTGATTGCTGCCAGGACCGCAGCATGATTCTTATGACTGTTAATATCTTTGTTTATTTAATCAACTGCACATTCCAAAAAACCTGTGATGGACTTAGGTTATTTAGAGGCCAAAACTCAAATGTGGATGCCTAAATATGAGTACCTAAATACATACATATCTTGTGAAGAAGTGGGCCTGACTTTTATAGGTGCTAAGCAACTGTTCTTCTGCATTTCCATCTGCTTTTAAGTCACATCCCACCCTCTGCCACCTTCCTCATGTCCACACTTTTAAAAAGAAATTAGCTTTGAAAAGTAGGCTATCTAGTTCCTTTGCTTACAGAAGTATACTGCCCAAAAGAAACTCCATCCTAAAACGTGATACTAGATGAAGGGGAAATCAGTAACCAGGTGGATTGCCACAGCAAGCCAAGAGGCCTGATCTGTCCAGTAAGTATAAGACTACAGGAGAGCTTATATGCTGTGTACCCAAAAATGACTCAAACAGTTATCGAGCAAGTTGCACCTGCCTACAGAGTGAATATCCTTCCTTCAGTTTGCAGAAAAATTAACCAGCTTTGGCAGTTAAAGGCTGAAACAGTCAAAATGTTGATTCTTGGCAACTTCTTAATGAAGTGCTTCTGGATTAGATATGATATCAATCAGGATATCACATCAAGAAAGCAACCTTCACATTAGCGTAGATCAAAATATGTAACAGAATTCTTCAGTGTGCAATGCAGTACTCTGCTGTGTTATCTGTGGAGTATGATTTTACACTCCTTGCTTTCGTGTCCCCAGCCTGGGGTGCAAAGGAGTAACCTGTGCCTATTCCAGGCTCCCTGCTTCCTGCAGGTCTCTTAAAGGAATCAGGGAGTGCAGCTGCTTACACTGGAGGGGAGAAGAATTGCTGTTGCAATTGGTTCTTTTATAGGGCAAATCAATGGAGTGGAGAAAAAGCACTTTACATCTTTACTACAATACAGGCATGCTGGAAACACAGCTAGAACCTGTCCCTGTGCTTTAAACTTGAAAACGGTGCGTTTCTCAGCTAGTCTTGAAGAGAACCTGGGTTTTATTACCTGGAGACTGACCTTTATGTATAACTTCCATTTCAAGTATGCGGAGGCCTGATTTTCAACAGAGATGCCATCTATTCCTCTGTAGGTATAGTTTGAGATATTTTAATTTGTTTTATTTTTTAGTAATTTCTCTGTATTGCCAGCTAGCAGTGAAAGATAAGATAATGAGCCTAACAAAGGCTGTTACAGGTCTGGTTAGCCCTTATTTATATTTTCCTCAGAAAAAATATAAAGTCAGTTTTTCTTACTGACTGAAGTTTTCTGCATTTCATAAAACTTCCCTTTATATTTCTTTTTATACACAGCTTCTTACTGAAGTATCTTATGTCAACTGAAAAAGCTATATATAATGTGTGTGTATACATGCATATTTATATATAGGCATACATATACATATGCAAAGATCTGGGAATACAAATTTCTACCAGTTTGTATTAGTACAAGGGTAGGTTTTCCTCTATTTTTATTTATATTTAACTCTTCCAGGGTTTTGCCTATGAACTCATAAGTAAGCCAATAAGGAATGTCTGAAGATATTCTAATATATTTTTATGCTGCATTGAATCTTTTTTTCAAACACTTGTTCTTAATCTAGTATGACTAATACACTAACATTTC